ATGTACAAATGCGCTTTACACAATTGATGTGTGTTTGGATTGGGATAACAGTTGTATGAGCCCCTAATAAAATGTTAAAAAAAAAAAGAGAGAAAGATTTCCATTGTGATGGTGAATTTATGCTTGCCCGATAGATGTTGATTACTCTTCCTTCAGGGGGCAAACATTTTTAATGTTACTGCAGGGGCGGGAGAAGGGTGGGGCTTTCCACTGCCATGGAGAGTTACAGCCTCAGAAACCCACAGAGGTGATTCTACCGTCCTACAGGGTTGGTAGTGGGTTGGGCTTGGTTTCACCAGGCGAGGAAGTAAAATGAACTGAGAAAGGCAAAGGGTGCATCCGACGTTTCCTGGATTGTTCGACACAATTGGATTTTGAGACCTCCTTCAAAACATTGAATGGAGAGAGTGTACCACAACGGGAAGAATCTGGGTTAGCTCCCATAATCTGTCAAAAGAATGCACAAACCAGTCTCGGAAGAAATACATCCCAGGGTCCCTGAGAAGCAAGTTTGGCGAGGCTTCAGTTTGTTTACTTTGACATGACATCAGGAGAGATCAGTCAACAAAAACAACAAACAAACAAACACACCAAATACCATTATTGAGTCAATTCTGACTCATAGTGACCCACCCTACAGGAAAGGTTAGAACAGCCCCTTTGGGTTTCCAAGGCTATAACTCTTTTTTTGGGGGGGCGGGGGGGGGCTATAACTCTTTATGGGGGTGGAAAGCCTTCTTTCTCTTTCTCCCACCAAGAGGCTGGTGGTTTCAAACTGCTGACCTTGTGCTTGGCAAGGCAATGCGGAATCCACGACACCACCTGGGCTCGAGTCACCATCTCTGGTAAAGTAGGGGGTCAGAGAGAGCGAGGCAAACTCTCTCTGAGACAGACCGACACAGGGCTCCATACAATCAACAAGACTCCCATGTGAAGCTGACACAGGACGGCCTTTCCTGACGTCACACCCAAAGCCACCATGCGTTAGAGGGGACGTGATGGCAACTAACAGCAACAAGCCTCTTGGTGGCTCAGCTCGGCAGAAGTGTTACAAGATTGTTGTTCTGGGAGTCTGAGGAGCCGGGCACTTGCTTATATTTTTGGAGTCTGTGGGCAATCTCCCCCACGAGCACCGCCTAAGAACATTTGCCTACAGACATTATTTTCTTGTCACGACTGAGGGTATGCTATTACCATTAGTGTGGAGAAGCCAGGGATTCTGCTACACATCCAACTATACACCCACAACAAGAATGATCTGGGCCCGATTGTCAACAGTGCCGCAGTCAGGAACCCCTGCCCTGGATTACTGGGGTCTACTGTTGCTCAGAGCCCAAGGCAGCAAACGCTCCTGTTACCGAGAGGCTAGGTTTTCCTGACAATAATGCTGCTCGTAATTGTTCAGAGGAATGCCCCTGGGCATTTTTACTCCTGCCTGCAAGGATGGGGATGAAAAATTTAGACTGAGTCAGGTAGGCTTCGGTTCAGATCTGGCCCAGGTACTTACTACCTGAGTAACTTTGGCTGGCTAATTTAAATCTCCTAAGGCCCCGTTGCCTTGTCTGTAATGTACACTTTTCCCATAAGGCTGTCTCGGGATTAAGAGAGAGAATGCACATAATATGCATGTATAGTACTTGGAGAGTATGAACATACAATCAATAGTCATCTCCAAAACATTTCTGAAAATACAGACATATCACAAGAGTTACCTGATGGCTCCAACTCCCTCTACAGCATGGTTCTCACCTTCGTCAGGCTGCCACCCTTTCACACAGCTCCTCAGGTGGTGGGGACCCCCAACCATAACATTATTTTCGTTGCCACTTCATCACTGTCATTTTGCTACTGTTGTGAATCATAATGTAAATATCTGATATGCAGGGTGTATTTTTATTGTTACAAATTGACCAGCTAAAGCATAGTGATTCATCACAAAACAAGATGTAATAATACATTTTGAAATATTTATTTCTAATTACAAATAAATGAAATTTTGTCTTGAAGCATGGTGTAGCATGGGTATCAGTCTTCACACCGGGTACTTGTACGGCGGAGGATCTGCATGTGGGCGGACCCACCTGGAGACGGATAGAGGAGCGGTGTCTCGGTTCCTAAGACCATCAGCAAGATGTGTTTTCCAATGGTCTTAGGCGACCCCTGTGAAAGGGTCATTTGACCCCCAAAGCGCTCAAGACCCACTGGTTGAGAACCCCTGCTTTAGAAGCTGACAATGCTGTCATGAACTTATTGATTCAATCATTCACTGAACTTATATTTCGTGAGCATCTACTATGCTTGGGACCGGAATGCAATGCAATGACAAGCAAGCCCACCATAGCTCTTGCTGAATCCATGTCGACTTTGGCATCCATTGAGCTTAATTTCCAAATCGTATGTGGCTTCTTTAATTTGCGATTCTTATTGGAATTGGCCCTCTTTGCATTTTCGCTGCTGTGAGCTAGCGTCTCTGTGGCCTACAGGTGTAAAGCGACGCTGCTCCCAATCGTTTCACGAGTCGCCTTGCTTACAAAAAAGACAGCCAAGATAGCTGGCTGACGAACCTTAGCTGGGTGACCGAACTGGCCATCAACCCAGTTGGAGGGAGCGGCCACCCCGTGCTCACTCACGTTCTTCTAGGGTCATTGGGGAGGGCAATGCTGTGACCCCAAATGTGTCCCTGCCCCCGGCAACCCCACTCACTTTTTCAGCACAGCGATCTCGTTCTCCAGGCTGCTGTCCCGGAAGGCGGGCGACTTCTTGATGCACTTTAGGGCAAAGAGCTTCCCCGTCATCCTTTGCTTCACCAGGAACACTTCTGAAAAAGCTCCTCTGAGGAGAAGACACCAAGAGACCAGCGTTACTCCAGGGTGACCAGAGAACAGGGGTGGAGGAAGGGAGGTGCGACTGGTAACTAGTTTCCACTGCCGCTGCGGCACCTGTTCAGCTATTCTCTTGTTATTGCTTGACTAGTCCATGTGTGGGGCACATGTTGGGTTGGAGGGTCAAGTCCACTCAGAGGAGCCTTGGACAAAGGGTCTGCAAGTGTACTGAGAGAAACCTCAAACATTAAAATTTCTGGGGAGTGCAATTATACTCGGCCACACATGGTTCCCTCAGAAGTTCAAATCCACTCAGTGCGCGCTGTTTTTGTTTCAAAGTAAGTGGAGGCAGAGCTAAAGTGAGAAAACAGCTGAGCCGCTCTCTTCCCGGCCATCTGGATCGTCTAGAATGATGGCTCACTAGCAGTCAAGCTTTTTTAGGATCTTCATTAGAAAATTCTTAGAAAAATCTTCATTAGAAAATTCTTGGTGTATCCTGTGACTGCGTTTCCTGTTTCCCCCAGCTGCAGTTAGAGCGGATTAATCCGTCTTTCGAGCTTGCTCTATTCATGCATTCATGAATTGGACTCCACTGGCGTCGAAGACAGTGGAGATAGAAAGAGAGTGAGTGTTTCTACTCCGGAGGGACCAGTCATCTAGTGAAGAACAGGTAAGCACTATATGATGAAGGCGTGTACAAGTGACCAAAGTTCTGTATTTGGCCCTGTGATCAGCGATGGTCAACCTCAGAATCCAGTGTCAGAGTCAGACACACATGGATCAGGCTGGAGCATCGTGAAACACCTCAATCTGGATTGGCTGCATGAAAATCACCAGGGACACATATAAAATATTGCTTCTTGGTGAAGAAAGTCACCACACAAAACCCAAACCCGTGGCTTCAGAGTCCCTTCTGACTCTAGGACAGTGTAGAACTGCACATAAGGTTCCAAGGCTCTAGATCTTTACAGAAGTGGAAAGCTTCATCTTTCTCCCAAAGAGCGGCTAATGGGTTTGAACTGATAACCTTTTGGATAGCAGCTGAGTGCTTTCTTCACCACCATGCCATCCTGGGTCCCCTAGATGCCTGGCCACTGGGTCCACCCTCCCAAAACTCCAGTCCAGTGGTTCAGAACAGGAACGTGTCTCTCTCTTTCTCTCTCTCTTTTTTGAAGAGCACACTGAAATGATATTAGGGGGTTCTTTTAATCTTCTTGAGGTTGACAATGATATGTGGGTATATAAGAAAATGCCTTCTTCGGCGATGCAGGCAGAAGATTCTGTGATGCTGAACACATGTGCAGAGCAGAAAGTGCATGGGAAAGGAAGGTGAAGCAGTAATCCTTGTTTTATTACATGTAGTCAGAAGTAATTGTTGAATTTAAGTAGTGGGTAGATTTATATTCATGATGTAATTATCTCGCTCTTAAACATTCTCATAGTTAAAAATGGGCAGAAACAGCCACCATGGAAAAGTTTGGTGGCTTCTCAAGAAATTGGGCATAGCATTATCACATGAGCTAGCAAGTCCACTCCTGGGTGTAGACCCCAAATAACTGGAAAACAGGACCTCAAACAGATACTTGTATGCCAGTGTAGCTAGCAGCAGTGCTCAAAATCACCAAAGGTAGAAACATTGCATTTGTCTATCAATAGGAGATTAGGTCAACAACATATGGTGGTGTAGACATGCAGCAGAAGATTATGGAGCCATAAAAAAGGAAGAGAGTCATAATGCATGCCGGTTTTTCAGAAGCTAGAGTGCCAGGCCTTTCTTTCAAAGTGCCTCTGGATGGATATAAATGTGAAATAAGCGAGATAATTTTTTTTAATTGTATGATCCCACTTATCATCTCAAAAGCATCACCCATTTCCATCAAGCTAATCCTGACTCCTAGTAACTCGGTAGGACAGAATAGGAGGACAGGTTTTCCCGACTGCGATCCTGGTCGCGCTGTTGGGAGGCATAGGACTGCTGACCTCGAGGCAGGAAGTGCCAGTGGGTCAGCGGATATTGTCAGGAGAAAGAAAAGGCGACCTGCTCCTGGACAGATGTGACATCTCTGGGAATCGTTCAAGGGGACCACCAGCAGTCAGGATCGCCGGATGGCAGTGGGTTTCATTCCCCCACTTTTACATTGGGATGGAAGCCGCATCTTTCTCCCAGTTGGCTGGTTGGTTTGAATCCCTAGGCCCTCCGTTGGCAGCCGAGGATATGTAACCGGTGAACTCAGGAAGACTCCTTAGGAAACATCTAGAATACTCAGAGTCATGGTTAGTGGCTACCAGGGGCTAGAGTTGGATAGGATTGACTTTGGCGGTGAACAGAGAGGTGAGTGGTATGAACCACCCCCAAGTGGCTCCGTGGGAGAGCGACCTGGTGAACTGTTTTCAGAATAATTACAGCCACGAAAACCCCATTGCGCACTTCAGCAGTGTCCCATGGGGCAGCTATGGGTTAAATAGACTCAATGGCAAGTAACAAGAACATACTTGACCAACGTGAAAGACAGATAAAGAAACAAATGTCCGGGGGAGCCCTTTAGGTGGCTCTGATAACCCTCCAGGGTTAGAAGCCATGGAGGTAGACTTTTGTGAGGTCCCCAGAGCAGGCACGTCTGTATTTTAATTATTCTAGTCTTAGTCCTTGTAACACAAGGCAGAGCAGATGGGAAGTAAGCTCTCGGCGGCCTGACCTTCCCTTCTCTTTCTTCTCTTGGCTTTTGGGATGCTCACCAAATCATCTCCCATTCACTCAGGAGCCTTGCCCATATATCCTGCCCCCAACACCTCCAACAAAACCCGTCTAGCTACTCCCGCTGTAGCACGGCCCGGATGCTGATGGTCCACGCACAGTGATGCTGCGCTTGTCTCCGTGTGCTGACCCAGCGTGCTGGTGGAGTGAGGGTCTGGAGGTCCCAGACCTCTTCGGACCACTCCTGGGTCCTCTCAGTCTGAAGAGAAAGTATGGGCAACCATCAGTGTGGGTGCCTCACAGTCAGGGCAGCGTGGAGCTAAACTTAGCCAGAATCTGGCTAACAAGCAAGCTTGCCTGAACGAAGAGCCCACTTACTGCTTCTCACTGCCCAGGCCCAATTAGAGCCCACTAATTAGCTGGCCAGCTGGAGTTCCGAGGAGGCAGGGCTGGTGGCCTGCAGTGGCTGTCCGCCTGCGTCAGAGAGGCTCTCTCCGGTGCACAAGCTGTGTAATCATTGTCAAAGGGCAGACACAGACACCCCGAAGGCTGGTAGAAGTTTGGGCTGCAAGGTGACTTTATTTTTCCAACATAGCCGACGCTCTTCAATAGGAGGAAGAGGGTGTTTCTGGGGAGCGGATTCGGGTGTTGGGTAACCCACTGGCTCTCTGGACTTCAGAAGCTCTTCTCTTTCCATCTATCGCTGACTACAGAGTTGACAGTCCCCCTGACAGTCCCCCTGACAGGGGACATGAGGCCAGGGGGCGAGGAGATGCAGGAAAGTTTGGGGGCCAGGGAGGCCTGTACCTGGTGCAGAACTTCTGCCTCCCAAGACCAGGGCGAGAACACCCAATGGACACGTAGCTCAGGGTAGGGTAGACACTGGGAGACCAGGGCTGGTCTCCCTGGGGTCCCCGTGCATTAGCTCATCTTCATGTTACTCAAGGTGTCATCGCCCACGCACCCTGAGCCCATAACACTTTCTCTAATTTCTTTGTTTTGTTTTCGTTTTTTACCACTTTCTGTGAGTCAGATCTGACTCACAGAGACCTCCTAGGTGTCTGGGTGAGACTATACTCCATAGTGTTTGGGGGAGCTCCTTTTTTGGAAGCAGACCACCTGGTCTTTCTTCCAAAGTGTCTCCAGGGTAGACTCGAACTACTAACCTCCCAGTGAACAGCTGAGCTTGTACCCTCTTGCACCACCCAGGGACACCCTCGGTTCTTTAGCAAACTCACTGCCATCGAGACAGTGCAGGCTCACTTGGGAACCCACTGTGGGTTTCCAAGACTGTAATTATTGAAGGGAATAGAAAAAGCAGGCTTTCTCCCATGGAGCTGCTGGTGATTTCAAACTGTCCACCATGAGGATCGCAGCCCAACGCATAACCACTAGAGCTGCCGACACGATATCCCAGTGAGCCTCAGTCCCAGTTCACCAGTTGCTGCGTGGCCAGAACAACTCTCTCTTTTCTAGCTCGCGAAGCAGCTGGCCCAGCCCTGTTCCGTTCTGCCCGCTGCACGACTTACGATCCCAGCACTTCCATGAAAATGAAGGTTTTCCGGATGTTGGTGGTCTGCTTCTTCCAGGAACTGCAGTCCTCTTCTTCCTTTCGACCCATTTCCTCCAGAGTGGAAGCTTCTGGGGATGCTGTGTTTGAGGGAGGGAAGGAGGGGTGGAGACAAAAGATGGAAACAAAGCTCTGAGCAGTTCAGTTCTCACATAAACCGAGATCAGGGAGCAAGAGGTATTTTGTGATCACAACCAGGTTCTTGCATGCCCCCGACATATCCTTGTGCTAGCGATGAACACAAGATCCGACGGTAAGACCCAGCCCCTGCTTTCAGGGAGGTTAGAGTCAGCAGTGGAAATGCTAGTTCCTAACATGTGCATTTCTTAGTATAACATGGAGAGACTCAGACTTGCGGGTGGGGAGAGATCTGAGCGGAGTCCAGTTATTTCCTGCGTTACCCAGATAATCAGCAAGATGCCCATTCCTCTCAAGGCGCCAGGCTGGCTTCCTGTCCACAGCTCTGCTGCTTCCTAGCTCATTCTGACTCCTAACCCCACTCCGGCCTAAAACGCAGAAACACCACCAACAAAAAACCAAACCCACTGCTGTCGAATTGACGCCAACTTACAGCGACCCCGGAGGACAGGGTAGAACCGGCCCTGTGCGTTTCTGAGGCTGCCAATCTTTACGGGAGTAGAAAGCCTCGTCTTTCTCCCTCAGAGCAGCTCACGGTTTCAAATGGCTGACCTTGGGGATTGCAGCCCAATGGGTAGCCACTAGAACTCCAGGGCTCCTCCCTCCTCCCTGTAAGGGACTAAATAAAGAAATAGAAGACTGAGCATCATCGGACTGCCTCTGTGACACCCACCATACTTCACATTCGTTATTTACTACAAACGGAATGGAAAGGTGTGCTAACTTATATCAGAATGTTGTTGTATACAGGTGGAGTCAAGCATCAGGACACCATTATTTAGCACCTGTTATGAGACCCGGCGGTGTAGGGAGTGTATGTGTTTGACTGCTAATCACAAGGTCTGCAGTTTGAAACCACCAGCCACTCTGAGGGAGCAAGAGGAGGCCTATTCTCATAAAGATGGACCGTGTCAGAAACCCACAGGAGCAGTTCTACTCTGCCCTGCAGAGTCTCTGCGAGTCAGAATCATTTTATGGCGGTGAATTGTTTTTTTTTTCTGACTGTGAAAGGTGTAGGGTCCCTTGGTGGCACAAAAGGCTAAGCTCTTGACTACTAACCTAAAGGTTACAGGCTCGAACCCACCCAGAGGAACCTCAGGCTTGATGAATTGCTTCCAAAAGGTCAGTCTTGCAAATCCTATGGAGCAGTTCTGCTCTGCACATGTGGGTGGTTATGGGTTGGAATGGACTTGGCAGCTAACAGCAAGTACTGGGCATGTATTGGGCATATACTGATGCCATGTACTGGGCATGTACTGATGCCATGTACTGGGCATGTACTGATGACACGTCTGAAGGACACATGTCCTGAGATTGGTTGCGGAGTGTAAGGACTCCTCTTCTGCTGAGGATTAAGAACTCAACTGGGATGCTGAGAGCCCCTGCAGTCCTCCCCACAGAGGAAGAGAAGGTGGGGAGACTGATGGTTCAGCCCAAGTGAATTCTAGGAAACAGACAGAGAAGTACATGGTGCTGGTATAAGAAGCGCACATGCTTTCTTGCAACCCCCTGGGGCCTGAGAGGCAGCCAGGAAGGGCAGAGACTGGTGATGGATGTAAGGGCTTCCCAGGACCCTGCTAAGTGGCAGGCTGTAAGCCTATGAGGAATTGATTGTCACCACGTCTGAAAGGGCATTAGCCAATCTGGGGTCAGGGGCAGTGAGCAGAGGACTCTGAGGCAATGCTTGTGTGGCAAGCAGGGGCACCATGAGTGCCCCGGGATCAACCGAGTGCTGGCGTCAGCTTGGCTTAGCTCACGGGAGCCCACTGGGCACATCGCTTTTGGTTTAGTGGATCGTGCTGTTAGCCTGGAATTGGTCAAGGTGGGAGTATTCACACCATGAAACCCGGCAAATGCTGAGACAGGGCTCCTCCCTCCCCACCCAGAGACTGAAACTCGGTTGTTAACTGCTCAGTTCAGCCCCAGGAAGGGCTTGTGGAGGTGCTGGGGTGGGGCTGGAAGAGGCAGTTAGCTCACCAAAATCTGAGGATGGGAAGGAGCTTCAGCTAATGCCTGAGACCAGGGCCTTTAATGAAGAGTGTCAGCCTGACCCCCAGGGCCAGACAGGACCAGTCTGACTCAGTGGTCGGAGTCCGCTATTGGTCAGATCCTAGAGGACTGTCAGAGCTGAGGTCCTTGATAAGTCTATGACCCCCTCCCCTTCTCCCACACCACACCGAGGCCCAGTGAGGACCTTACACTGCACAATGCCACCTGGATGGAAAGCTGGAGGAGGAAAGGCCATCTTATGGCCGTGCCCTTTGCCTGAAAGAGACTGGGTCGTCTAAATAGGACTCTTTAAATCTCAAGGACTGAGAGGTCATTCATGGACAAGTTCAAATTCAGAGTTTCGGGTCCCCTTTGCTGCTCCAAAGAAGCCCTGGTAGCACAGTGGCTACGAGGTGGGCTGCGACCCGCAAGGTCAGTAGTTGGAAAGCGGCAGCCTCCCTGAGGGGCCTTCTCCTCCAGCAGTTACAGTCTCAGAAACTCACCAGGGCAGTTCTCCCTGCCCTCTAGGGTAGCTGGAAGTCAGCATCCAGCAACTCGATGGCAGTGAGTCTGGTTGGTTGGTGTTGCTAGCGGGTGGGGTGGGGAGTTAATGAGAAAGCTCTTGCAGGGAATCAAGAAGCTACAGGGACTTTGTGCATCGTGGCAGCGTTGTATATTCACGACACAGGAAATCGCCAGCCAGTTGGCATGGAGCCCCCCGTCCTCCATAGGTTTTTCAATTTCAGATTCTTTAGAAGTAGATCACCAGGCCTTTCTGCTGATGCACTTCTGGGTGACCTTGAACCTCCAACCTTTTGTTCAGCAGCCAAGTATGCTAACCATTTGCATCACTGATATAAGGAAACGTCGTTCCAAGCATGTGAAGCATTCCCAGCCGGGGTGTTGGATTCAACCCCGGTAGCTTGTGTTTATGCCTTCAGGCCGTTTGTTGATTTGCTCCTTTTGGCAGGGGAGTGGCATAAGGATCGGCTCCGAGGGACTGCAGCAATGCAGGGCCAGTCACTGGCCAGAGGAGGACTTGCCAGCAATGACAGCCTGACCCTCAGTTTCGAGGACACAGCCTACAAGGCAGAGACAAATGGACCCAAAGTGACAGCAGAGAAGGAACTGTTAGAATTCGGGGAGCCGTCTTGAGCCAGATTCCATTCTGCAGCTTCTGAGCCCTCGTTCAGCAGCTTCAACTGGCCACGGTGCTTGGCCCCTGGGCTCGGGCTGATGCTTCTTCCTGTATAGACACACTGCAGCTGGCAGTCCTGAGGGGTGTAGGGATGCGGGCCGAAGGAGCAAAATCAGCAGACTGAGCCCTTCTGTGGCAATGCCTCTCTCCCCCTCCATGGAAGGACGAGGCTGGACAGGGCTTTTCCAGACAAGCCCATCCAGAGCCTGCGCTCCAGATTGGGGACCCTCAACAGGAGCCTTTGTCACTCCCCATCCCCGGGCCCTGGAGCCCCCACGGGAGGACTGCCTGCTCTCCAGGAGGCCTTGCCACCTCATTAGCAGATCTGTACTCGCTGTTCCTTCTTTCCTCCTTTCTCTTAAATAAGCTTAAAAACAGTATTCTTAGCCGGCGCTCGGCTATAAGAAAACATCTTTCCCGCCCACCCCTCCTCCCAAACAGTCATTGCTAACAATTTTGTTCCATCAGCAGTGCAATGTGGGAAACACCAAAGACCAGAGCCAGGGCCGTCCCTCACCCCCTGCTGGTACTTTCTCTGCATCCTCCTCGGCCCCAGGGAAATCTCCTGAGGCCGCCCTTCCCTGTGGGGCTCAGGGCTGACAGTGGGCTGCCCTACTTTCTGCGGCAGCATCCTGTTTCTTCCCGTTGGAACCTTCCCCCTCCTCTCTTGACTTTTGCAATCTTGGCCGGGGCAGAGAACAAGAAGACAATTTCTGAAAAGCTTGAAGCTCCAATGTTGCTGTCATGTATTTCCCAAGTGTCCCCCCCCCCCCCCCCCCCCATTCCCAGCAACAGTTCCATGGGTTCCGAAGCTCAGGAAGAGCCTTACGGGCCTCTCCGGAGTGTCCTGCTGATTTCACAGGTTCCGCTCAGGAGCTGCCATGGGCGGCGGGCTCTCATGGCTGGTTCAGGCTGGAAGTGACCCGTCTCGATGGGGAATGATATCTTCAAGAATATCCCCTGCAGGGGGATCTTGCCACAGGAAGCTTCTTATTCATGGAGCCACCTTTGAGTCGAGGCGGTAACACTCCTTCGTTCACAAAGGTGTATTGAACAAGCTTTCTGCTCCTGGCCTGGGAAACTCACAGGGGCAGTGCTACCCTGTCCCATGGGTCGCTGTGAGTCTGCCTGGACTCAGGGGCAGTGAGTTTGGCTTGGTTGGGAGTCCTGTGTGCTCACTGGACTGTTAGTTACTGTCAACTTAATTCCAGCTCACGGTGGCCCTGTGTGTGCAGAGAACTGCCCTGGTGGGTTTTTGAGTCTGTGACTCTTAGAAGCAGACTGTTACCCTGTCTTCCAAGGCACCTCGGCAAACTTTTGGCTAGAATTTGAGCACTTAACTGATTACCAAGCCCAGGGACTAGCCTAATGTATACGTACATGTATATGTATACGGTGCGTGTAGCTATATATTTGCGTTGAGTGAGTTCTTACTCAAAACCACCCTGTAGACCAGAGTAGAACTGCTCCATAGGGTTTTGAAGGCTGTCCACCTTTGGGAAACAGACGGCCACATTTCTCTCCTGCAGAGCGGCTGCTGGCTTTGAACAGCCAACCCTCCAGTAAACTGTCCTGGACTTAACCATGGTGCCACCAGGTTTCTTTCCCCCACTGGACTGAATACAGAAAGTTCTATGATATGTGCTTGGCCTGCCAGTGGTTCTCAACTTGTGGGTCATGACCCCTTTGAGGGTCGAGTGACCTTTTCACAGGGGTCGCCCTATTCATAACAGTAGAAAAATGACAGTGATGAAG